ACACCATGGAATATTACTCAGCCATTAAAAAGAATTCATTTGAATCAGTTCTAATGAGATGGATGAAACTGGAGCCCATTATACAGAGCGAAGTAAGCCAGAAAGATAAAGACCATTACAGTATACTAACACATATATATGGAATTTAGAAAGATGGTAACGATAACCCTATATGCAAAACAGAAAAAGAGACTCAGATGTATAGAACAGACTTGTGGACTCTGGGAGAAGGCGAGGGTGGGATGTTTCAAGAGAACAGCATTGAAACATGTATATTATCTAGGGTGAAACAGATCACCAGCCCAGGTTGGGTGCATGAGACAAGTGCTCAGGCCTGGTACACTGAGAAGACCCAGAGGGATCGGGTGGAGAGGGAGGTGGGAGGGGGGACCAGGATGGGGAATACATGTAAATCCATGGCTAATTCATTTCAATGTATGACAAAAACTACTGTAATGATGTAAAGTAATTAGCCTCCAACTAATAAAAATAAATGGAAAAAAAAAATAAAAACAATTAAAAAAATAAATAAAATAAAATGAGAAAAAAAAAAAAGAACTAAATGGCTCTGAATACCACATACAATGCCAATTTCAGTTCCTTATTACTTGAGACAACAAGATAATATCTTGTGGGGGAAATCTTTGGAGTGTTTGAGGTTCAACCAAACCTCAAGGTTCAAGGTTCACCTTGAAAGCTGGAGCATCCTGACTGCTAGGAGTGGCTGCAGATCCAAGACCAGTGCCATTCTCCAAATGGTCCATTCTCCAAAGGTCCCCCCACTTTACGGTTGTGTGGGAAAAGGTGGGCAGCACAGGGAAGGGTACTGGATGGGCACAGCTGGCCCACAAGGCATGTCCAGGGAGCTAATACAGGTCAGAGCCCTGATGGGTATCTCATTGCTTTGTTTCTATCAAGAGTGGTGATTTTGGGATGGGTGGGTAGACTGCCATTACTCAGGCACAATGAAAGGGGCTCCAGCAGAACCGAGAGGCTGCAAAGGTGGGCAGCTGCTGGCCGTGGGACAGGCCAGGAGTCCTGTGCCAATGCTTCTCTGAGGACAAGAGAGCTGAGATATGAGGCCACAGTAGACTTTGTCCCACAGAAGCTGTCGGACAGAGCGAGGAGGAGATGCCTGTGCTGACAAGGCAGCTCCTGAAGGCTTGAGTCAGGGAAGTTTGGAGGAGCTGCTTGGAGTGAGCAAGCAGAGGCATTTTGCAGCAGTTGTAATGGTTGAGTTGATTGTTCTACCACATACTCAACTTCCAAAACCTCACAAGAAAAAAATTCTGCAAGGATACACCTCTCAAATCCTGTCCTCACATTTCAGGTCCAAGTCGGCACCCAGTGTCAGCAGGAAAGATTTTGCTATAACCCAACTCACTGGCCATAAGCCACAGTTTTCCTGACCTCCTTGGTCCACCCCTTCTACCAGAGCAAGACCATCCCTTCAAAGGGATGTTAGCTTCGTGAAGGCTGGACGTCCTTTTTTCCAGTATTTATTGGCTTTCCAGATATTTGTGAATTGTCTAAGTCTGCTTACCATTTTTTGTCAATTTCCTGGCGACATGCTTGTTTCTTCATGTTGATATGTAAAGGATTTTTTTTTTAGAAGTTAGCAAGAAGAAACACTGATCTGTCATAACTGTTGCAAATATTCTTTTAGATTTTCATTTCTAAACATTTCTGTAGCATTTTATGACATGCAGAATTTTGTATTTTTATGAAGTGGTAGCCAACATCTTTAGTGTTACTATTTATATGGGATCAGTTGAATATCCACCTGTATTTTTCTATTTCATTTAGGTTTTTATTTTACAAATTTACTTCTTCAAACAATCTGGAATGTATTTTGGTGTGAGGAGGAAAATTTAACAGTTTTCCACAGGTAGTTAGCTAGTAGTACTTGTTGTTGTTCAGTGGCTCAGGCGTGTCTGACTCTTTGTGACCTCATGGAATGCAGCACACCAGGCTTCCCTGTCCTTCATCACCTCCCAGAGCTTGCTCAAACTCATGTCCATTGAGTCGGTGATGCCATACAACCATCTCATCCTCTGTCGTCCCCTTCTCCTCCTGCCTTCAATCTTTCCCAGCATCAGAGTCTTTTCCAGTGAGTCAGCTCTTCGCATCAGGTGGCCAAAGTATTGGAGCTTCAGCTTCAGTATAAGTCCTTCCAGTGAATATTCAGGACTGATTTCCTTTAGGATGGACTGGTTGGATCTCCTTGCAGTCCAAGNTGGAAAAGAATAGCTGGCCTGCCAGGTAAGAGAAGAGAAACTCTTTCATCCTTCTTACCGTGTTGGTCTGAGTAGAACAGTAGTTGCTGTGGTGACAGAGATGCTTGGCTGTCAGCTCCATCAGGCCTCCTATAAGCATCTAGGGGTGGGAAGCAGGGTTTCTGTGAGCAAGGGGCAGAGTACTGAACACTGACAAGCGAAGGAATGATGATGGGATGGCAATACAGACACAAGTCTCAGGGAAATCACCTGGGGCTGAAATTTGGGACAAGGAAGGAAAAGTTGTATCTTTTTATTACCACCAATATAAGACTCAAAGAATGACCCTTCATATGGACTTAGAATATTTGAATCTGGTGTTTCCTATTATTCCTTTTATTTTAGACTCTCATTTTGCACAGGACTTTTATTAGGCAATCTTTGAAAAGATTCAAAGTCAATTTAAAATCTGAGTTTAAGAAAAAGTATTACAGTAATAAATGTTAAAAAAAGGTTCAGTAAAAGCACTCTTTTTATGCTAATTAATATCAAAAGCATCATCATATTTTTTGTGGGACAGGAGGCATATATTATTTTATTGTATAGATAGTCAATGATTTATTGAACATGCCCTCTAATTACAAACAATTGATTTTTTCTAATGTTTGTTATTTCCAACAGAGCTGGAGTAAACATTTTTGTTTATAAATTAAATCATATGAATCACAAGCTTTAAAATCATTACTGGCTCCCTGTTGCCCTTGGGATAATACATCCTCTTAAATATGGCATGTGAAACTCTTTACAACCCAGCCCTAGGGCTTCCCAGGTGGTCAAGTGGTAAAGAATCTGGCCAATGCAGGGGATGAAGAAGACTGGGGTTCGATCCCTGGGTCAGGAAGATCCCCTGGAGAAGGAAATGGCAACCCACTCCAGTGTTCTTGGCTGGGAAATCTCATCAACAGAGGAGCCTGGTGGTCTACAGTCCATGGCGTTGCAAACACTTAGACACAACTGAATGACTGAGCATGCATGCAAGCAGTCTCCTTTGGAGTCTCCTCTGAAGCCAGCTCTACGCCCCCAGGTCCTCAAGACTCAGTTCAAATATCTCCTCCTTTGTAAAACCTTTCCCATCTTTCCCCCGTTCAAGTGACATTTCCTTGCTCTGAGAAATTACAGCATTTATTCCTACGTCTAGGAAAACAAGTATATCATAATGATTTCTCAGGGTAGCTGTCTTTTGCTGTAGAGTTGAGGTTCTGAGGTTGTGTCTTCCTTCCTATGGTATATCCAGCCTAGTGCCTGCCTCCTGCTGTAGTGTCTGACATAGAAAACTGTTTCTCAAGAAATGTTGAGAGAATGTTTGATTATTTGGTGGAATTTTGTTGGATCACTGATACTTTTAAGTTTAAATTATTTCTTGAGCTTGAAATGATGGGGTGTCATGCACTTTTCAAAAAGTCAGTAGACAGAGAGGACAAGATTACCAAAATCCTCTGGAGAGTTCTCTGCCCTGGGACTGCAGTAATAATCCCCTCACAGCTGCCATTTCCGAGATTCCCTAGCCATGGCTTGGTGGGTCTAGAACTGGAGGTATGAGAGGGTGTGCCAGAAGGGAAAGGAAAGAACAGAAGTCTTTCTATGAGATCAGTCCCAGGTTCACCCCTGAACAGTTTCCTAGATAGCAGAATCCAAAGTCTAGGCTTTCTAGGTAAAGGCTAGACTCTCTAGAATGACTCTCTAGGTAATCCCTTTCTGAGCCCTGGAATGTCACTTGGAAGAAGGATTACCTGGTGGGAGGAGAGCAGCACTTGGGAGCCCTGAATTAGGAATGGAAATGTTTTTAAGAAGTTGGAAACATGGATAGACAAGGACCTTCAAGTCCAGCAGAGCACCTGGTCAACCAGACCACAAGGCCAAGGCTTCAAAAACATGGCTGTAAATTGAAGAATTTGCCTTTAAATAACCTGAGTTCAGTGACTTCAGAACTTTGAGGTGATCCATAATAAGAAATGTATTTTACACTGTAAACCAACACAAGCGTATACAAGTAGGCATGACTAAACAACACTCTCATATTTGTTTTAATGTATGCAGCACATTTTGATATTTTAAATTCTATGTCACTGTTTTTTGTTTGTTTGTTTAATGCTAGTCATGAGCCATTGCATTGATTTTAGGACCTGCAGTATGAAACCCAGTGCCCAAGGATAGCTGAAGAAAGGAAGTAAAGTGAAGTGTTAAGTCGTTCAGTTGTGTCTGATTCTTTGCAACCCCACAAAGTATAGCCCTCCAGGCTTTTCTGTCCATGGGGTTCTCCAGGCAAGAATACTGGAGTGGATTGCCATTCCCTTTTCCAGAGGATCTTTCCTACCCAGGGATTGAACCTGAGTCTCCTGCATTATAGGCAGACTCTTTACCATTTGAGCTACAGGGAAGAAAGGAGAGTATCTTAATTTCTTGAAATTAGGAGAGGAATGCTCAGATGCCAAAAGTGAGGTTTTTACCCAGGAGGATTATCATGTGTGCCATCACCATTCAACTTAAGTAGGTGATGAAGGCTTGGAGTCCTCAATTTTGTTAGGGAAACACCAGCCATCACCTGTTAAGTATTAATTGTGTGTTGGGAAGAGACAAAGAGATTAAAAGGGAGAGTGAGCATGTAAGTGTGTGCTTGAGAAGTAGAACAGCCATTTCAAAATGTGCCTTTGCCCTTGGGCAATCATATGTGGAATGGCTAATGCTGCAGGAAGAAGATGTAAAAGACACAAAAGAATGTTCAAAGAGACTTTTTGGAAAAAAAAGTACTCATACTTACCTTTTGGGGAAGCACACAAAATCAGAGTCTACTAAGTGAAATAATCTGGAGATTGAAGCTCATTCTTGCCCTAGAAAAATGAAAGGCTTATAGGTAAGAGCTAAGCAGACAGCACGAACTTTTTAATAATATGAAGTTCACAAATATTTTTTCTCCCACTCTTGGGAAAGTAGAAGGAAATAAATTAGAGGCACATGCCAGGACCTTCAACCTTCCTGCCTCCCACCAACTTCTAGAACAACTAAACATCAAGCCTCCCTTAGTGGTTTCCTCTTTGTGTGAACGTGCATGAGTGATGGGAAAGAGATATACTTGAGGCCAGTACATTTTTAACTCCCTGGGAGGTATTTTTTATCTAAACATGCCTTCATTTGGGCCTTCAAAGATGAAATAATGAAGCAACTTTCACTGAGTGCCATATCTTATTCTATCATCGACTTTTTATAGACTTGAACACTTACATCAATTAACACCTTTTAACTCAGGACAAACTCCTCCTCTGGGAACAGTTCTATCCTAAAGAAAATGCAGATATGGGAGCTGTGCTTTCATTCTGGGCTTAAACGCTATTCTCCACTCAAAACAGCAACCATAGAATTTGCTGTGGGGAGAGAATATGCCACTCCCAGGGGCAAGTGTGAAAAAAAAATTTTTTTTATTTTACATTAAGAGTTATTTCTCTTTGAAACCCCCATTCTACCACATGGCAGAAGTTTAACCTTAATAAATTCAGAATAAATCCATTTGAGCATTTTCTGTCTCCCATTTCTCTCCTAGATTGCACCTTATGTTCTGGACGCCTGACCTGTGCCACGGTGGTCATATCCTGCCATCCTCGGAGGTGTGGACATGCCCAGCTGCCCCTGGCTCACGGGCCTTACTGCCAGCCCTACCACATGCCCTCAGCTGAACGATGAGTCCTTGGAGGTCTGTCCTGTCCCGCTCTCTCCCACATCTGTTCCTTTTTGGTGTTATGGGAATATTCAACTACTCTCCACTGAAGTGGAAATTCTCATGAGATCCCAGGAAAACATACTTGAAGCTCCAGGATGTGGTATGCTAACAGTCTGATTTCCTTGAAAATATGTGAAATGTAATAAGCAGGGAATACGCTACTTTCTTAGGCACCACGTCAGTGCGGTTACCTCGGGACAACAAGGGCCTTAGGACAAGGAAATCACTGTTCTGAGTGTCTTCTCCTGCCCCTCCTGCACCCCTTCTGCCTTCTTCACATGCTGTGTGTGCCCTGGGAGACTCGACAGAATCTTCCTGTGGGCCTCGCTGCCCTCTGGCTCCAGCGTGGTGCAGCCGGAGCAAGGCCCTGGCAGTAGATCAAAGAGCAGGAGGAGGAGGGAGCAGGGTGTTGAGTTTCCTGGCTCCTTTCCTTCTGAGTCACAGGTGAGCAGAGACTGTATTCCTTTCCCCAAAGTCATGGGGCTGTTGGGTGGCCATCTCCTGCAGACACAGACACAGTGATGGTGCAGCTGTCTCTGGGCTCCAGTAACTACTCCCTACCCAGCCCTTTAGGCCTAGAGATGGTCATGGCCCCCCAAAGCATCACCATCTTTTGTTGGCTTCTCTGTACACTGCCCACTCACTACTTTGTAAATAGTTCCTTCACTGAACTCTCTCAACATATCCTGCTTGCCTTTGCCCTCTGTTTTCTGCTGGGACCTGACTGAATCAGTTGGTTTTTCAGATATTAACCAGTAGGAACACCCTTCTGCCTCTAGTTATAGAGTAAGATTTCTTGGATTGGAGTGAGTTGGTTATAAAGTGCAACAGAGAGACTGTTCACGGTCTACGGTATTTTACCAACCACATCCATCCCTGTGGCTTCCATATTTGTAGCTTTTTCAAAAGGGACCACCTTGCCCTCAGTCCTTGATGAGGAGGCAGCCTTAGGTGGCCATTTCTTTCCCCATGTGTCTCTGCCCTGCCCCCTACCCTCTTATCCCCATCTGTCTCCCCAAAGCTCAAAGTCCTCACACCTGGGCCAAGGACAGTAAGTTTACAGGTTGGCCAGCAACCTTTACCATCTTATTTGAAAAGATGAATGAGACTTATCAGTGCCTTCCTTTCAAAAAAAGTGAGTCAGAAAAAGTTAAAGGAATAAAATGATTAGTAGCTGTGCTTGAAGTGGAGAAGTGAACAGAGAGTCATCAGGCAGAAAGAATCAAGTTGACATGTAAAGGAGGCCACCAGGGGTCCTGCCAAGTGAGGGTTATAAGGAAAGTTGGGGCTGTGATAAGCAGATGCTAGAAGGGAGAAGGAAGCTACTTATACTAAAAGAAGATGATGCTCATGGGGGAAGTTGGAGGAAACAGTGACTGCACTGATCCAGGCAATAGCAGAGCCTTTGAGAACAGAGCCTTCTGAGTATCCCAGAATGTTTTTTTAGAAGAAGCAGGGGTGGGCCTCTGAACTGCATCTCATGAAGCCTGAGTTTGCCTTGTAAGAGCATTGTTTTTACCTAGAGGTTATGTGTCTTTAGGGGAGCTTGAGAGGAGCTGATAGGCTTTCTGGTGGGCCTCGGGGATGGTCCCTGAGAACCTCCAATTCTTCATGCTCCCACAGCTTTGGATCCTGTCTGAACATCTATCCTCGTCCCAGGGTTCCTGGGAGATTGCCGAGCAGGGTCGTTAAGAGCAAGGTCTCTGGAGCCAGCCTGTCTGGTTTCTATCCCAAATTTGCCACTTATTAGCTACGTGGCCTCTGGGCAAACGGCTAACTTCTCTGTCTCTGTTTTCTCATCTGTAAAATGAGGATAATAATTGTACCCCTCTCACAAGGTCATTGCCAGTGTTAAATGAGTTAATAGGTAGGACAGTGGTTGACACATAGCATTTCCTAAAATTGTTACTCATGTTTCTTTCACAACCAATCAGACTCCCTCTGCTCATCAAATGGTACTGTGTGTGTGGTGTGGTAGACCTGGGGGTGCAGTGGGTGGTGGTGGAACAAAAAGGCTTCAGCATCAGCCCTCCAGGTTCATACCTCCTTTAGCAGCTCCGTGACTCTGAAACTTCCCACATTTTCAGTTTACCCACCTGTGAAACTGGAATAATAATCCTAATACCCACCTTGAAAAGTTGTTGCAGGGGCCCATTGTACATTCATAGGCAGGACTGAGCCGTGTCCGATAACAGTAAACACGGAGGAAAACTGAAGCGTTGTTACCACTCAGGTTAGTGTACGTGAACCTCTTTCCTAATGCAGTCTATCTAAAACAGGACTTTTTCATTTACCTAGAGCCCTGTACTCTAGGTAAAGCTCTGTACTCTAGGTGAAATACTCTAGGGCTTCCCTGGTGAGGCAGGTGGTAAAGAATCTGCCTGCAGTGCAGAAGACCTGATTCAATTCCTGGGCTGGGAGATTGAACTGGAGATTCTCTGGAGAAGGGAATGGCAACCTACTCCAGTATTCTTGCCTGGAGAATTCCATGGATAGAGGAGCCTAGCAGACTATAGTCCACAGGGTTGCAAAGAGTCGGAGACAACTGAGTGACTAATGCTTGTACTTTTAAGATGTATCTTCATCTTTGCACTAGTTCTAATGGTGAACTTACACTTATACCTATCCTCCAAAATTCAGAAAACTTAGCTAAGATAGCGTTGATTTCAATTTCTAGATATTTTCCAACTCTAAAGCAAAGGAATATATTGATTGGGACTTAGAGTTGAATACATGTAATCTTGGCTAGCTTATTGAACATCTGTTGGCCTTGATCTAGGAACTAGTATCATAAAGATGAATAATATCTTACCCCTGACCATAAGGAATGTATAGTTTAGGGAGAGAAATGGGCATGTGAGCAGTAGGTCCTCTACAATGTGATGCTTCATCTGGAAGAGAAACGCTCAGAGGGGCAGTGATACTTCAGAGGAAAGAGCAATTAACTCTGCCCACAGACAGAGGCAGGAGCAGCCCCAGGCTTTAATATATCACATTTGAATTGGGTCTTGAAGGATGCATGGGAATTCAGCAGGGAGAATAAGAGAGTGGAAAGGTAGGTAACACACTACAGAAGGAATAATGTGTTCCCAGACCTGAAGCTGTTTGGAAAGAGGTAGGGGGAGAGACGGAATTGGGAGGGAGAGGAGATGAAGTTGGGTCAGAGCCAGATGGAGAAGGGCCTCGTAGGCACTGCAAAGAAATTTGGACCCCATTTGCAAGCACTGGAGGTGTCTGTGGGGCAGGGGTGGGGGAGTGTCAGCTTTTAAGGAAAACATGGCCACTGTCTTGTTTCACTCTGGCAAGGACTGGAGCAGGAGAGGAAGCTAAGAAAAGTAGGTATATATAGTTACCACATGCTCAGTCGTGTCTAATTCTTTGTGACCCTTTGGACTGTAGCCAGCCAGGCTCCTCTGTCCATGGGATTCTCCAGGCAAGAACACTGGAGTGGGTTGCCATTTTCTCCTCCAGGGGACTGACCCAGGGATCAAACCCATGTCTCCTTTGACTCCTGCATTGCAGGTGGATTCTTCACCACTGGGCCATTGAGTAAGTAAAGTAGGTACACTGTGTAAAAAGACCCAGTCCTAGCACACCTGAAGGGCATATGTAGAGAAGAACAGAACTTTTTAAAGGCATGTTTGGAAGCCAATCAAATGTAAACTCTGTCTCTTGTAGCTAAGAATCCTCTTTGGACAGCTAGAATTAAGGGAAGTGTTTGCAGGAGGAAGAGAGAGAAGGATGGGTTGAAGCCTTCATTCCACAGCCTTTCTTGGGTCAGAAGCACCATTACCATTTGTGATTTCCAAGCACCCTGAAAGCAGGTGATGATTAACCCAATCCAAGTTCAAAGACACCCACCGCAACAGCAGTAAGACAAACTCTTGGGTTTCCTTTCTCAATTTCAGGCTTTCGGCTACTGGGCGCGAATCTTTTTTTACTGTCCCTGTTAAGACCATTTTCTTGTTGTTGTTAAGACCATTTCTTATGAGTTGATGGGTGAGCTGAGGTCTGGGCAGCCACGGCGGCAGGGCGGGGGAGCTCTGGGGCAGAAAGGAAGCCACGAGAAGGCAGGTCTGCTGGGCTTCCACAAAGTCAGAAGAAGCATGGGGCAGCATGTTTGTTGGTAGAAGGTGGTCTCAGCCGGGTTCTGTTCCCTCTGCTTGGGTTCATGAGGAACCCTGCAAAAGGGACCTGCAGTTAGCATCAAGTGACTCTGGTTGGTGAACACAATCAAATTCCAGAGGAAGGGGTGACATCCCTCGGGTCCCTGCCCGGGTGCAGAGTTTGACTGGATTTCCACCATAAGCAGGGCTCCCAGGTGCTGCCTAGAGGAACTTGGACATGCTCACTCCTTTTTTCCTTTATCCTTCAAATACACTATAGGAAACACCACATTAATTTTTTAGGAAAAAAAAAACCATGAACCATACTTTACTTTTGTGATGAACTCTTTATAAAGTCAGATACTAGCAGCTCTTTTTGCCCTGGCAATCTAATTTCAAGAGACCCAGAGACCCTTAGGGCTTTTTTTTTTTTTTTCTTTTTCATGCATCTATATACCAGTTATCCATCTAAGACCTACCAGGTCACTTTGTAATTCCTGAGTTGCAGACAGCCTTTTCAAATTGGAAACAGCGTACAACCAGCAAAATGGACCCCACATTCAGCTTTGGACCTCTCCCCGAGGTCCCACATCGGTACCACACACACACATCTGCGTCCCCATATTACAGCTGCATCAACAGAGGCTCGCGGTTAAGGGATGGCCCAGGATCGCCCAGTGAGGCCCCGTCTGAGCCAAGAATAAGATCTGGGCCTCATGACTCTCGCTCTATTCCCTTAATGCTCTCTGCCCTTATAAGGTGATTAAATGGTTCTTTTTTCTCCTGAAAAAGCGAGTGTGGAGGGGGGGAGTGGTGGGAAGTGGGGAGGGGGAGAGTAAAAGGGGCAAAATTAATTTGAATGCAACTATTTTGCCCAAGTCTCAGAACACTGTAGTTCTTTTATTCGTTTGGAAGAAGTGGGTATACAGAACAGCTTTGTTTTTCAATTCATTAACTTCCACAGAAAAAGGCCATCCTTTCTGTTTATACTAAAGGAACTGGATGTCGGAGCCATCGCCATGTGTGTGGTGTAAATAAGAAAGGCCACCAATGGAGATCCGCCCCTTTCATGATGAGAAAATAAAAGTTAGTTACTTGGGTTCCAGGGGAAGTTTCTTACTTACCAGATGTCAGCCTTTATTTTTTGTTTTCAAGAAGTAGGTAAAATAACTGTGGTTTTAAAATTCATTCCCTTTAATTTTTTAGAGCCCCGGTGACTTCTAAAGCACTTCTATAGACATAAATGCTTTAATGGAACAGGAAGGCATCCAGAAAATGCACTGTAGATGAGAGACATCCAGGGAACAAAGTACTCTGGGTGATCATGGGATAATTACATTCTGCAGCCTTGAGTGCGGAGCTGGGTGTCAGTAATTCCTCTATCAAGATAACCAGGCCCCCAAGGAGTTCTGCTAATGCTTTTGCAACATTTCGATGATAAAGGAATGTGGTATTTTTGTATGTCTGTTGCAAGAAGATAAATCTAGTTGTGCACATTGACCAGGGGTGACAAGAGGACATTGATAACAGATCTGGACTCTTCACATGTTCCATCTGTACCATTTGCTTCAGTTCACATTCTTTAGCACTTCTGCCCCAAACTGCAATTCTTGACAAGGCTCACAGTGAATGTGGTGGGGTTGCTCATTTCATAGGTCCAGACTCTCTAAAAACAAAACTCTCAACTACACTGTGTTTATTATTCATCTCCAGTTATACTTGCATGATTAAAATATAAAGCAAAGAAAACATTTTAGTAATGTCAGTGCTGACCTTCGAACTTGTGCTTTGCTCCATCATGTGTTGTTTGATTTACAAGGAAGTGACAGTTTGTTTCTGTCTTAAGCTTATAATTTTAACCCAAGTCCAGGAATGACCTCGAGACACAGGCCAACTTCTGGCAATGAGTGGTGGGTCAGGGACTCAGAGAAACAGCATCATTTCCAAACAGTAACACAGGCAGCTTTGATGGGCTTAACCTTACAGGCTGGAAGTTCGGAGACTGCCACGGTTGATTATAGTTTGGAATAAATCCATCAGTCACCTGAACACTAAGATAGCACACCACCTAGATGAGTGTGAACCTAAGGAATGAATCTCCTCCCTTCATGTCTTAACAATTCCACTCCCTACACTCTGTCATTTCCAGTCTTGCCTTGGCGGCTCTGAGCCAACTAGATGCTGATCAAGTGATGTGGACCCTTGTTAAGGTGTCTGTGTATGTGTGTTTGTTAGTCACTCAGTCATGTCTGACTCTTTGTGACCCCACGAACTGTAGCCTGCCAGGTTCCTCTGTCCATGGAATTCTCCAGGCAAGAATACTGGAGTGGATAGCCATTCCCTTCGCCAGAGGATCTTCCCGACCCAGGGATCGAACCCTGGTCTCTTGCATCACAGGCAGATTCTTTACCGTTTGAGCTACAGGAAAGACTTTTTAAGGTGGTTAAGGGACAAATGCTAGAAAAACCTGGCTGGGGAAGCCCATCTTATTGTTTTGTGATTCTTCATTTTGATCCCAGACAGGAAGATTGACGCCTCATTAGCAGTCAGCACCCTTAGGACTGAGGCTTTGACAGTTAATAATGCCCCCAAGAACAGAGTCTCTTGGCCAGTGGTGCTCAGCATTAACCACTGTACCCAGAAAGCACCCCTGTGCCCATCCCCCACAGCCAGTCCTCACCGAGACCCCTCTGTTCTACCTCTACTGTCTGTCCCCATCCACCGTCTGCCCCCTGCACTGGGAACGTCCTCTCCCTCCCACCCAACAGCCAGCCAACCCCATGCAGCAGACAGCCAGAAGGACCCTTCTGAAACATAAATCAGATGGAGCCAGCCCTCCAATTAGAATCTTTGAATGACTTCCTATTGTACCTAAAACAAAATTTTCAACATGACTTCTAAAGCGCCTAATATTCTGAGTCCTCCCCAGTTTCCCAGCTCGGCCACAGGCCTCTCTCCCCTGACTACACGCCAGGCCTACAATGCTGACCTGTATTCAGCTGCTGGACCATGGCAGAGCCCAGCTCTCCGGGATGCCTGGATTTGCATACACTGTGCTCTCTGCTAGGAAGGCTGTTCCTACTATTTCTATGCTTGGATGACACCTACCCATCAATCAAGTTCCAGCTGAGAGTCCCTTTTCAAGAGCAGTATTTTTTAAACACTCCCTGCTCTCTCAAACAGATTTTTATCGACTCCAGTAGTTCTTTATCCCTTTCGTAATACTTCTCACAGCTAATCACTTATACTTTTGAATCATTATTAGACTAATACCTGTCTCTCCCTATGGGTCCCCTGGAAAAGGAAATGACACCCCACTCCAGTATTCTTGCCTCGAAAATCCCATGGACAAAGGAGCCTGGTGGGCTACAGTCCATGGGGTTATAAAGAGTCAGACACAATTGAGCAACTGAGCACACCCCCGATGGGTAGATGCTTCTCGATATCTATCATCCTCTAATGTAAAAAAAAAAACACCCTAACTTTTATCTGGGCACTATGTTATTGTTGTTGTCTAGTCACTAAGTTGTGTCTGAGCTCTTTTGTGATCTCATGGACTGTAGGCCACCAGGCTCCTCTATCTACATTGTTACCCACATATATAGTCTACATTTCCCACTCTCCAATGTAGCTAGATGTGGGCAGGTAACTAAATTCTGGCCAGTGACATGTACCCTTCCCCTTCTATCTTCCTTTTTTCTGATCAAAATGCAGATGTGATGGCTAAAACTTGGGTAGCAACCTTGGACCATGACCAGGCTTAGAAACTTACAACAGAAAGAAAAGAGCCTGGGTCCCTGAGGATGCCAAAATGACTTCTGTACCAGCCTGGACTTGTCAAATTTCAATCTCCTTCAATTTGATAGAAATAAACTTCCATTTTGTTTAAGCTATTTTTCTTGTTATTGTTCTGTATTGAATGAATACTTACAGAAAAATGAATGCAGCTTACTTTAAAGAAGAGAAGAGTGAGTCCATCTTATATCTTCTCTGGGGAAAGGAGGGAGAGTACAGGCAAGGTGCCGGTCTTCAGTTTTGTGTCTTTCACGTGGCATGAATTTTGAATCTGTTTATCACCTTTTCATAGCTTCACATATTTTTTGCAATGGTTTCTCTTCTTTGATTTTTCTCTTCAATCTTTTCAAAGATTGAAGGCAGGAGGAGAAGGAGATGACAGAGGATGAGATGGTTAGATGGCATCACTGACTCAATGGACTTGAATTTAAGTAAACTCCAGGAATTGCTGATGGACAGGGAGGCCTGGCGTGCTGCAGTCCATGGGATCGCAAAGAGTCAGACATGACCGAGCAAATGAACTGAACTGAACTGAACCCTGCTTGCAAATTAGGTCACAAAATTTAAAGAGCCAGTTTTTTTAAATTCACATGAATTAAGATTCTGACATCTATGTTATATTAGAGTATGTTTCAAATATAGCTTCACCACATGAAGAAGTGAATTTGCAAACAGAACACCTCATGTGTGATGTGCCCTGTAGATCATGCATCTCGATAAGATCCTCACAACCCAGTGAGGAGACTGGAGTCCACACGCTCATGTTGGCTCAGAAACAAATGTTTAAGGTAAATCTGAAGTCAGTATAACAGACTGCCACACACAGGCTTCTTAAATTAATTTCTGAAACCAATAAAAAAAAAAAGATCTAATGTTCTAGATGTTTACATACATTACCAGTTAGCAAACTGTGACCTGTATGACCTGTGGACCAAACCCAGGCAGCTGTCTATAGGTGTAAAGAAATTTTTTGGGGACACAGTCACTCACACCCACTTGCTCATGTATTATCTGTGGCTTCTTTTAGACTTTAATACAAAGAACTGCAGCAGAGACCACATGGCCCACAAAGCCAAAAATATTGCTACCTGGCCCGTCACAGGAAAACTTTGCTGATCTCTAGTTTATGTGATAGGGACACATCTTTCTCAGCCATTTTTTCCTTTTTTTAATTGCTCTAATTGTGAAAAACTCGAATGTTCTCTAGGAAGTCCACCTCATTTTCCCAAATGAGCTTCTGAGGTCCTACCAGTCCATCTTTGGCACTTCTGGATTTTAGAGCTCTGCTCTGTGGGGGCCTCCACTTTTGCTGTATGTGGTGCCTCTCTAGCGCCTCTGTGCAAAGACATAGGCAAGTTGGTTTCAGCATTTCTGAGGCTGGGTGCTCACCATCCACACTCCACAGTGAGGGGTTTCTCCCCATGTCTCCTTAGGACCACGTCACTCCTTCCCACCAGCTCCCCATGAAGGTGGAAGTTCTTTGCTGAGACGTGGTGGCTCAGATGGTAAAGAATCTGCCCGAAATGCAGGAGTACCGAGTTCAAGTCCTGGGTCGGGAAGATCCCCTGGAGAAGGAAATGGCAACCCACTCCAGGATTCCTGCCTGGAGAATCCCAAGGACAGAGTAACCTGGTGGGCTACAGTCCATGGGGTCGCAAAGAGTCAGACACGACTGACTGACACTTTCACTTTCAAGCTGCGTGAACCCCCTAAGAGTGCCCTCAGGGATAGAGTCCCTCTCCAGCCACAAGGCTCCTCCCTTCCCTGTGGGGACCCCCGAGTGCCAGCACCCCAGACCGGGGGAGGTTCCTGTGGACCCTCTTCTTTCCCACGGTCTTCCGTCTCATTCTCAACACACACTTCCGGTGAACTCTTTCCGCAGCTGGCGTCCCCCTTCCTGTTCCCTCTTCAGGGAAGAGGGCTGAGTTCTGGCCCCAGTGCCTGAGGCTGGGGTGTGGGGTGGGGAGAGTTCCAACGCAGCCGGCAGCTATTCATCTCCTAAAGTGTCTGAATCAGACACACCTCATCACCATGAAGTTTTATTTCCTCCTAAGCGTGTCCACCCCGCACACCATTACAAATTAGTGTTAATAAGATACTTGTATTTCTCTCTTCAGCGCATCTTTCAAGTAGCACCTTCGTATCCTAAGGAAATATTTTCTCCTTCCTGTCCTGAGATACACCCCTACGTGTCCCCGCAGTAACAGGAAACCAGAGGAAGCTTTACTTCTCCCAGGTCCCTCCTGCCACAGGGACCTACCCTCTTCTTTAAGGTAGCTTGAGTTTGTCCTTCCGCAGAAACTACTCTTTGCCTCTTGTTGGATGAAGAGGCTGCTGTATGAAGTGAAAGGGCAGCGCTGGTACCCCTGAAAGTTTCCATTTGGCACATTTCTTTTGAGCCTTCATTTCTGGGAAAGGTTTGCAGTGAGCCTTCCCAGGTTTCAGGGGAGAACAGCCTTATTAAACCCCCCTCTTCTGAAGTCCACTCTTCACAGGTTTTTTTCCCCAGTCATTAGCCAGTCTCCTTGACCTCAACAGATGCCCCTGGCAGAAATGCAGAAGCCAAGTTTATAGACCAGTTGGCATTTAAAGACTCTGGGATTACTACTGAGCGTGAAGGAAAATAACAACAACAGTAATAAAGCAGATGACATTTGTTAATTGTTTACCATGTCCAACTTTATGTATATTCCATCACTTGGCCTGCAAAACAACTTCATGGTGTAGGAGCTAGTATCATCTCTACTTAGATAAACCGTCTTCCAAGATTGGCTCAGATATGAGCAATTTGAATGTAGATTTCATGTGTAACCCCTTGCACTGTTCTTGCCTTCAGAGTCCCCTAACCACCTCCTGCTGCCAGCAAATAGTAGAGCATCTTTCCCAAATAGTTCTTTAGTAGCACACTTCAAAAGCTTTTGACCTGGAAGTTCTATCCCTCGGAACTATTCCAAACCAAATAATGAAATGTAAGGGCAAATATGTCTGTATAGCAATGTTTGTAAGCATTTTTATTAGTCTGAAAAATTAGGGACAACCTGGATATCCAAAAATAGAGACTTAATTAAATAAATTGTGGAATATTTATGATAGATTACAGCAAAACCATTAGCAATTTTAGACTAAAAATAGTTATGGAAAAGGGATAATATTTACATCATGAAGTGAAAGCATCAGATTATAAAACAGTATTCCATAATCATAGGAGAATGTGCATGTAAATATTTTTAAAATCCCTGGAATACCTCCAAAAATTGTTAATAGTGATTATCCCTGAGTGATGGTATTTTAGTACTATTTTTTAAAATAAAGTTCTGTGTTTTCCAAGTTTTCTGAATTCTAATTGGAAAAAAATATCTACAACTTTTTTTTATCTTTGTCTACATAAAGATCCACTCACAAATTTCTCACACCAAAAGAGATTTGTTGTATCACTCACTTTTACTCCCTTTGAGTTACTGAATTGAGTGGAAGATGAGACTCTGGATTCTATGTAGGCAATTGTCTTTTTTTCTCAGCTCTGAAAAAAAACAAAATAGGTTTCTTATTGGTTAAAATAACTTTATAGTTGGGACTGAAGAATATATTGGGGCTTCCCAGAAGGTGCTATTGGTAAAGAACCTGCCTGCCAATGCAGAAGACATAGGAGACATAGGTTCGATCCCTGGGTAGGGAAGATCCCTTGAAGAAGGGCATGGCAACCCACTCCAGTATTCTTGCCTAGAGAATCCCATGGACAGAGGAGCCTGGCAGGCTACAGTCCAGAGTTTCAAAGAGTTGGGCATGACTAAAGAGACTTAGCATGCATGCACTGAAGAATAAAATCAAATAGCCTTCAACACCAAAGTCATACGATGTACACATCTATTCTGGTCTAGCTGAACCAGAATCAGACTAGTTTAACTCATTTATTTAAAATGTAACATACACAAAAGAGAAAATTTTCAGAAGAAATAAGCATTCAACTGTTTGCTGTGCTTCTGTTTCTTTAATGAGTATTTCATAAATAGATATTAATGCCACCAAGCTAGATTTCATTAAGAAAAGCTATAACAAATATTTGGGAAGGTGTCCTTCAAGATGATTGAGCTCAAACTTCAGCTGGCAGAAAAGGAAAGAGGAGGTGGAGGGAATTAGGTGGGTAAGGAAGAGGGGGAAGGAGGAAGAAGAGACAGGAGAAGGAGGAGGAGAGGATGAGAAGAAATATGGACCCAGCCTGGATGAGACATAATCTCCGTTTCCTTTAAGAGAGCTGGATTGAGGTGATGTTCCATCTTGAGTGTGAGCTTTTCCCAGCAGCCTGTACCCTAGCCCCAATAGCATGGACATCACCTGGGAAATGACAGCAATAGAGAAATCTCAGCCCACCCCCACTCCCGCCCCAACATAGATAAAAATCTGCACAAAATCCCCAGGTTATCCACATGCCAATTAAAGTTAGAGAAGCACTCACCGGCATCTTGTCCAAAGCCCATGGCTGTTCTGAAATTGCTTAGAAAAGATTGACTATCTCCCATCTCTCTTTAGTGACCCCTAGTGGTAAACCCAAAAGATCTACATAACAGGATGACTGAACTTTTTAATTTCCACTTTGGACCAAGAGCTGTCCAACCCTCCACCAATTGATCTATCTCAAGTACTTGGAAGATTAGAACTCTAGCTGGCCATCCTGATTTAGAAGATCTGATGTTGTCCAATACAAACTGGGAGGGTAATATTTTTCTGCATATCACTGCTATTGGAATTCAAAAACAACATTCTTGAATGAGATTATTCTCTGTGAGTGTTTGAAAAACACTAACAACTCACTGTTGGTCTCTTGACTGAAGACACATTCAGAAAATCCATTTTTCACTTTATATCTTTTTAAAATGTGATTGTACTTATTTATTTTTGGCTGTGCGAGGTCTTCATTGCTGCACAGGCTTTCCTCTAGTTGTGGCAAGTGGAGGAGGGGGACTACTATCTACTGCGGTGCATAGCCTTCTCATTGCAGTGGCCTCTTTGTTACGGAGCACAGGCTTTAAGGGGCTTCAGTAGTTGCGGCTCCTGG